AACGCTATTTCTCTTGCTATGGTTTCTTAGCTCATTATTGGGATATCTGGTCAGCACACCAGAATGAGTAGTACGCTCAGCCCATTCCCGGCCTTTCCAAACCTTTGAAATGACAAGTTCATAGGGGGATCCTTTCTTTCCTCTTTCAATAGTACAATGTCACCTTTCTAATAACCATACACCCAATCGAACAGTACTCACTCCGTTCACGGGTCCGTGTAAGTAAATAGAAAAAAGTCTGATGAAAGGATACCACCCTTTATTAAGGAATCCCCGTCCACAAAGGACTCTAATTTGAAATTATCTTTTGTACCCCAAGGGACAGTTACATCCTATACGCGCTACTATATGTATTCATTCCTTCAGCTACTCGGGACGACTCGTGGGTTAAAGCTCCATCTTCCGACTCATCATTTCCTCCCGGGCATAAGAAGTCGAGGCAATACATCTACTTGGGACATCTATTCGGACTCCTCTTTTAGGAAATGGTGGGGGACTCGAAAGAAAGAGAGAAATTGAAGTTCGTCGGAAGGATAGGTTTCCTTTTCAATCTTTCTTATATATCAGTAGTTCTTCTCTAGCCTATCTAGCTATAGCTTGCGGGGCTACAAGCACCCGAATAGTATGATTCAACATCTCCCAATGGGGACAATCAATGAGAAAGCTGCCTGACTTATTGAGCTAGAAGTAGAGTAAAGGGCAAACCCTCGAGACTATAACAAAGGAGATTCCTGGTTATTGATGAGGATTGCTTGGATACCATTCCTGCACCCTTTCCCGACTTTGAAATTCAATCTATATTGGTCCCGCTTCCCCTTCTATATTGTGTTATATTCTCATCTTTGAATAGCCCCCTTTTAGTTCCATAGTTCAGGTAGCGAAGTTTAGAAGACAGAAAGCAAAGCCAAGAGGTGGTGCCCCACCTGTAGCCTTTCGTTCTCTCTCCTTCTTTCTCTCCTGCCTTTAGCTATCACTTTAAGGTAGTCTTCCTTAAGCGAGCTATAAAGGGAAGGGAAGGTAGCAGCAAGCCTTACGTTAAGCAAGAAGTCTCATATGTGCGATTACCAATTCCTTATTGTAAATATCTTATAAATATGTTTGCTTAGTCCCCATTCCTGGTAGTCTAGCTCAGTCTGTCTCTTGTCTGTCCATTCCTTTAGTTTGTCGTCTCTATCTTTATTTGTCTTTAGTAAGAAAGCTTGTTAAAGCCATCTGATAAGTCAGGTACTAGAGGTCCATTCAATGCTCTAATAAGCTTTCTTTTAGGCCCTAGAATTTCCCATTATTCAAAGACAGTAGGCAAAACACTATAAGGAAGTGAAGTAGTGTCGGCAAATATAGGCTTCTCTTTTCTTGAATAAGTCTCCTCTCGTAGGCCTCTCTTTTTGTGACAAAGAGGCATTCCAAGAACTTCTATGGAGAAGCAAGAAAAAAGAGCTGGTATTAGCTTAGTTTGCTTCTTTAGTGCCATCCCCTTCTTTAATTAATGCCTTCCTTCCGGGCATTTTTCCATGTCTTTATCATGGGCATCCACTTACATAATTTCTTTTAGAGCGTTCCGTTCTTTCTCTTTATACCATTCCAACTATGTGCCCATCCCTTGATTCCAGGTATGTGGTGCCCCCAATACTTGTTTACTGCTGCTTTATACTATTAACGGTTTTCGTCCTTTAGTATGATCCCCTTGCTTGCCCTGTCCAGTCATATGTTCTCCTTCCCGATCAACGGGATTGGCTATTGGACATCCGTACACAAATCATTTTATGTAAATCTATCTTCCTGGCTTTGAATTCATTCCATTCCTATCTCATCCCCAGTTCACTACGAATAGTTATAGAGTTGCCTATGGAGTCAGGTTTGGACTTCCAAAAGGATCGATAATCGACTTTCTTCTCCGATTGCAGCTTACTATTTTAATAAAAAGTTATTAAACATTCTCTCGACTGGTTTGAGAGAGCAGGGGCACGACGAGTTAGCCTCAAAAGGGTAACTTCTTGGATAAGGTGTTAAGGCGGCCTTCTAACCCTCAGCCTATCTGGTCTCGTGCGGATTAACACCCTTTCCTTTCTATCGAAGCCAGCGAACCATATGAAAGTATTTGATCGTCGCGGTTTAACCGGTCAGGGTCTAGCACTAGACCTGAAAATATAAGGGCTGCACTTCACATTGATGTTGGCTATGCACCTTTTGCATTCGATGACTCAGTTCACAGACCTAGTAATCTAAAGGAAGGAGGCGGATGGCCGGCTTCCCTCCCCCTAGTACCCTTACTCGGGCTTCGGTTATCTATCTTTTAGGCCAAAGAAGGACGGTCAAAGTTTTCACCTGATGGGGCACTAATAGAAATACATATTCCCAGTGTCTCGATAGCTCATAGGCAGCTAGTTTTTGGACTCACAGGAGCCCTATTGACCTGCGCAATCGCGCTTCTTTCACCTTACTTACAGCGTATCCAAATGAATGGATTGAAGAAGTAAAGTGGTTTGGTTGTTGTGCGCGTCGGAGGCCTACGGGGTAGCCAAGTTGCTTACGAGGGGTGCTGTACGCTAACGGTAATAACCTCCCAGGAAGGGGAGCTGCATAAAAAGAGACTATAAACAGACTGTATTAGATCAGCAGTCGGACTCGTTGCAAGAAAAGGTAGTTGAATGTGTTAGGCGGAGAGAATATAGCACGTAGAAGATTATATAGTCGGTAGTTCAAGGTTTAATGCTTGCCAGAGATAGTTCTATAGTCCTTAGGAGAAAGACATGACCATAGGATTTTATAGAGAGCAACTTTGGGTTCCTCTGAAATACCCACCAAATTCTTTGTATTCATGTTAGGATTTCGCGCTGAAGAGGCCTTCGCTTCGTTGGGACAAGTTGGTGGAGATGTGGTGTCCAGTCACTCACATCGATGAGGGCTGCGCTATGCCACCTGTCCTTACCCTGGTAGTATTGCTTTAGCAAAGCTAACGGTAGGTTAAACAAGTCTGGGACCATCCTTCCTTTCATAGGCTGAAGCAAACCTTTGCGTTTACATAGCTATGCCCTTTAGTTGCATGTTCAACCTAGGCAAGACCCTACTTGCTGGTTTTTCCATAATCCAATCCATAACAAATCGGATGAAAGCCTGATACTTCTCACCTACTCAAACGATATTGAAAACTACCATTTCATCAAATCAAAAAAGGTTTCGAAGAGTGCAAAAGGTCAGTTCGGTGGTAAGATCTGAAGGGGAGATTCACGGGTAACTTTGGAGGGGGGGAAGGAAGAGCTGGTGTGGCACGTCAAAGGCCATCACGCAATGCCGTGCATAAGGAAGGGTGGCGAGTGGGAGAAGAATTCCTCCCCTTTCAAGAAGGGTGTGGATATGGTCTATAGCCAAAAGAAGAAGTCGAATCAGAAGCAACTGGGCAAGCAAATGCCGCTGCACAAAGGGCCATAGCGTAGTTCAAGCCAAAGCTTTTGAGTTTTCCAACTCAGTCCTCACTCCTATGAAAAAGTGGGTATATAGATATTGATCTTATGTTAAAGCTTGACTTGAACATAATAGGGCTCCTGGCTTTAGTTTAAGGAGATTTTTTCTTCTTTCCTCGGATTATTGAATCAAGTATTTCTTTAATAACTGATACTGCTTCTGTTTTATTCTTATCTTCCTTGAGCTCTTGAGCAGCATGTTCCAATCTTCTGTTGATCTTTCATTTTGATTCTTTTCTTTCTTGATCTCTTAAGCTCTTGAGCTGCTTGTGCATTTTCTTCCTGGTGATCTTTCATTTTGATTCTTTTCTTTATTAATCGCTTGAGCTGCGTGTGCCCAATCTTCTGGTGATCCTTGAACTGGTTTGCTCCTTTTTTCCTTTTGCAAATTGTCTTTCGTTGGCAACAGTTTATATTCAACTGTCCTCGAGAGGCTGTTAAAGGTAGGGCTTTCGAGTTAGATCTCTGCTGTAGGGTTGTTGTTGAGGTTTGGTTGTGTAGTCTCATCTGGATGATTAGGATTTATCTCTGAATGCATACTTGCATGTTCTTTGTTGAGAAGATCATACTTCTCCAGAAGCAAACTTCCTATTACCTCTTCTTTTTCCTTCATTTGATCTCGTAATCTTTGGATATCAAAATTGTAAATAACTGCTTCATAGCCCTCGATGTCAGTAATGACTTTTGGTTTGGTGTTTACCCATACATGATCCTCATCAAAGATGAGATCCCTTTTAGGGTTGTTGAGATTGATTCCTAGTTGAAGCAGAGATTCCCTTTGTTTGACTTAAAGATCACTCAGATTCACTTTGAAGAGTAATTCAACGGTGACATCCTTCTTTAGAGAGGGATTAGCGTATAGTTGTTTAAACCATTCGAAGTCCACATAGTTTTTTGCAGCACCCTTTTGCTTCACAATCTCAACATTGTCTTTGGTCTTTAAAGCATAACTTTTCAGAGCGACAAAGTACCCTTCCTGAACTATATGCTCCAACTTGAGCTTGCCCAAGACGGTGGATGAGATCTCCTCCTCCGACAGTGGACTCAGTGTAGTAGCAATCCTTTCTTGAGATGTATTTGTACATATGGATCTAAGCATAGGCAGTAATAGCAGCAGAGAGCTGTAACAACCGAGATCCTAGGCAAGAGCTTGAAACATAACCAAGGCGAAGAGCTCCCCGAGCAACACGTTCATAGATGAAGTGATAGTCTATTTCAACGTGCTTGGTCTGAGCATGAAAGACAGGATTGAGAGCCAAATAAGTAGCACTAACATTGTCGCAAAACAACATAGGTGGTGTAGAAAGAAAGACACCAAGGTCTTTAACAAGATATTGCACCCAAGTGAGTTCAGCAGTAACCAATGCCAACGAACGGTATTCGGCCGCGAGACAGTGGGTTCTTTCTTTGAGAGCCAAGAAATTAGATTGCAACCGAGGAAAATGCAACCACCTGTCGTAGATCGGCGGTCATCAGGGTTACCAGCCCAGTCGGCATCTGAAAATGCAGTTAGATGAGTTGAAGACCGAGCAGCAAAAGTGAGACCAAACCCAAGGGTACCTTTGAGATACCGAAGAATGCGTTTGGCAGCAACCATATGGGCTGTGGTAGGAGCATACATAAATTGGCAAACCTGATTCACAGCATAGGTAATATTAGGGCGAGTATAGTTAAGTACTGTAGAGCTCCCACCAGGCTGCGATATAAGGAGACATCAGCAAGAAAATCACCCTGAAAAGCGGAGAGCTTGGAGCCAGACGAAACTGGAGTCGAAATGGGCTTGGCCGTAAGCATGTTGGCACGCTAGAGTAGATCTAAAGTATAGTTGGTTTGAGTCAGAACTAAGCGATCAGGCGAACGTGAGACCTCCATACCCAGGATATAATGAAGGACCTTGGTGACCTTCATCTCAAAGCATCGCGACAGAGAATTAATAAGCGAGCGGATACCAGCTACATTGCTTCCAATAATTATTATGTCATCGACATAAAGGAGAAGAACAATAATGCCTGAAGTAGAGGTGCGAACAAAATGTTTGTGTCGGCCTTGCTACAGAGAAAGCCATGTTGTAAGAGCTGTGAAGAAAACCGATGGAACCTGGCACGGGGGGCCTATTTCAGGCCATAAATTGCTCGACGGAGTTTGCAGACATAAGAAGGACGAGCAGGATCTATAAAACCCGGAGGTTGCTTCATATAACCTCTTCGTCAAGAAAGCTATGAAGAAAGGCATTTTTTGATGTCCAGCTGACGTATAGGCCACTCTTTAGAAGTCGCTAGAGCAAGAACAGTCCGAATAGTCGTGGACTTGACAACAGGGCTGAATCTTTCTTCATAGTCGATCCCATACTGTTGAGTAAAGCCCTTGGCAATGAGTCGGGCCTTGTGTCGCTCAATAGACCCGTCCACACGACGCTTAAGCTTAAACACCCACTTTGATCCAACTACATTCATAGACGGATGGTAGGGAACAAGAGACCAAGTGGAGTTGCGAAGTAGAGCATTGAACTCATCCTACATGGCTGCGTGCCATTCTGGTACCTGAGAGAAGCAGGTCGGTTCACGAAAAGAAGCATCAGACTGAAGAGCAAGAAAGCATGCTGGAACAGGGTAACAAGTGGCGGAGAAGACCTTCGGTTTCCTGGTGCCATCCCTTGACCGAGTAATCATATGATGACGTGACACAGCGGCAGAAGATGATGGTGGCGTGTAGTCATGTCAGTTGTAGTACACCTAGAACCAGGATCCAAGGCCAATGGAGGACCATTAGAGCCAGAGGGAGCAACCTCAGTCGCAGTAACAGCAGGTGATGAATCAGGGAGTGGCGCAGCAACAGAAGCAGAAGAGGGTGACGAGAGAGGAAGAGTTGGCACAACTGCAGAGGCGATTGGAAGAAAAAGAAGCTGAAGTTGCCAGTTTGACGGCACGTATGGTTGGTGTGAACAATCAAGCCCAACAAGTGGCGGGTCAAGCTCAACAAGTGGTTGGTCAGACCCAACAACCAACGGGGGCACCTCTTCCGTCGTTTTTGGGCCCCAAATGCCACCACCACCTATGATGCCAATTCCCTAAACTTCACCAGACTCGCTCACGATCTACTAAAGGGGTAAATCTGGTCAAAGCCCACTAACCAGATGCGCCTGAAGGTTTTCTACATACAGAGCATCATCTAGTTTTGCTAATCCAGAAGCTACCATTGTTTCTTTTCCAAGAACTCTTGCTTTGCTCCCGTCACCAAATGTGACTGAACCAACTTGAGTATCTTCTAGATTCTCAAATATGGCTTTCTCACCTGACATATGTCTTGAACAGCTACTATATCTGTACCAAACATTTGTCTCCAAGGCTTTCAAAAGACAGTATGTACAACTAGGCATTTGGGACTTTCCTTCCTAACCCAAATTGCTCTAGTATGGGGCTTCCCCGAATTCATCTCCTGCTTGAGTATCTCTTTTGTAACTGAGTTACTAAAAGATTGATTCTCTTTGTCCTTCTTGGACTGTGAATTTATTTTGAACACATTTTCTTCCCTTACTCTTTATATCAACTTTGATTCTAGGGAAAGATTTCCATTTAGTACACTAAGGAAATATATGACCTGACTCACCACAGTGATAACAAGTCGGCACAAACTTCTTGGTCTTCCCCCCTTCAGTTGAAGTACTAGGTTTGCTAGCTGGCACAAACCTTGCCCTTGATAAAAAGAGATTGACGTTTATGGTCTATTACCATAAAATCCTAGACCTCTCTTATCGTCAGCATCTCTTCCAATGCTGAGGATAAGATTTGTTCCCTCAGAGAAACTCCAAATAATATTCTTTTCATTCTCTAAGTCTTTTTCTAATGATTTGACTTTATGTTCTAGACTAGCTTCTCTATCCTTGGAAATCTTCAACTCCTTTTCCAATTCTTCCACTTTCTTAACCAATCTTAAACATTTAGTCCTAAACTGATCAACATCAGTTCTAATCTGACTAGTCTCCTCTTTGAGAACTTTCTGACTATCAATTTTCTCTTTTTTTTTCTTTCACTTTTCAAGAATCGAGAATACTTTCTAATCAGTCGCTCTCCTTCACTTAAATCTTCATCGTCAGATCTTTCAGGCTCTCTGTTCAAAGTGGAAGGCTCTCCTACATCTCTAACAGTTACAGCAAAGGTTGTATAGTTTGTTACTTCATCACCAGATGAGGAGGTGGATGAATCGTCACTATCCAACTCGCTGTCATCCCACTTGACAGCTAAGACCTTTGGCTTCCTTTTACCTTTTCGGTTAGGGCAATCCTGGGCAAAATGTCCAAACCCTTGACACCTGAAGCACTTGACCTTAGGTGACGGTTGACCTTGATTACTTTTATTCCTTTGGTCACCTTTCAGATCAGTTCTGCCCTTGTCAGAAGGTCTATCTCTACCTTTCTTAGATAATTTTTTTCTATTGTTTTTGAGAAACTTCCTAAACTTCTTGACCATTAATACCATTTCTTCATCATTGTCGAAGATTGAGTCTTCATCTTCAGACTCCTCAGAAACTTCCTTAACAGACTTTATGGCAATGCTTTTACCCTTCTTGTTATTCATCTCGAAAGTCTGTAAGGATCCAACCAATTCTTCTATCTTAAGAGAGTCTATATCCTTACTCTCTTCAATTGCCGTGACCTTTGGTTGGAACTTCTCAGGTAAAGATCTCAACACCTTCCTGACTATCTTATGCTCAGGAATACGTTCTCCAAGATAGAAACTTGAGTTTACTATGTCACTCAGTTTCGCATAGAAAGTCCCAAAACTTTCACTATCCTCCATACGGACGGTTTCAAACTGTGTTGCCCACCGTTGGAGCTTGGAGATCTTAATGGTCTTGGTACCCTCATGGGTAACGTAAAAAATCACCCAAGCCCCTTTTGCAGATTCGCAAGTGGATATCCTACGGAACTCATCTAAGGTTACACCATTAAAAATGGCATTTAATGCTTTATTGTTCCATCCACTGCTTTTCAGTTCAGCTTTATCCCATTCAACAGTGGGCTTTAAAACTGTAGCTCCTTCTACAGCTTGAACTGGATCTTTCCATCCTTCTACAACTGAAAGCCATACTCTTTCATCTAGAGATTTCAGAATCTCATATGTGCTTTCCAATACGCGTAATTGCTCCCATCCAACAAAGGTGGATGTGTTGCGGAGCCTCCCCCATGTAGTAGATCCATTAGTTCCTAAAGTACGCGTGGATCACACTCAAGCGGTTAAGCTCTTAAATGAGTGAACCCGCTCTGATACCAATTGAAAAAAGATCGCGTACTAACGAATCTAGACTGTCAGGGGGGATAAATAGGTCTCAATCGAACTCTTTCAAAAATGATTTTACCTTTTAAACTTAGATTCGATTTCAACAAATTCTTTGTTGTGTTATCACGTATTGATCTACTTGAGTTATTGCGGAATTTACAGATCTATCATTACGAGCATGTGATGATACATAAATAAGATCTATGCTCAACAAAGAGTATCTATCTCAGATCTGAAATAAAAGATATCAAGCACGCATATCAAAATCAATCACCACATAAAAAGACACAAGATTTGTTGACGAGGAAAAACCCAACCAACATGGGAAAAAGCCCGGGACCTAGTCCAGCGCAAAACAATCACTACTAAGAAACGAGAGTACAAGGTTTATAGAACTATACCCATGCAGTCTTATAGACCAACGACTTCTTCCCCGCATGTGTAGAAGGAGGTACGTGATTTCTAAGGTTCAAATCTAATGATCTATGGGGAAATCCGTGTAGAGGAAGTATAGATCTCTCATTAACAACTCATTCCTCACACAAAATCACAAGGTTTTCTCACTCAGATCTTCTCTCTCAAAGAAGAAACCTATAAGCCTAAGAGAAGCCTCCACAAAATACAGAAAACCTTAAGCATTTACAAGAACATACATATGGACCTATTTATTGAGTGGGCACGAAACCCTAGAGAAAACCCTCCAAATTTGCAGATCCGCGCGACATCGATCGATCAACATTATATTATAATAGGGCTTCAGTTGATGCTTCTATAGAGTTCAATTGACCTTTCAATTTAAAGATCAATCTGGTGTTCAACTTACTCTGGTTCGTTTCTATGTGCTCTATCTTTTCAAGGCTTAAAAATCTTATTTGCACGACATTGAATAACCCTAGGTTAATGTTTAGTCAATTCTAACCTCCTAAGGTCATTCTTAGGTATCTAAGTCACTTACCATCCTAATCATGATTGTCAGATTCAAGATCGTCACCTTGTTGCCTTCAACCTTCATCATTGTCATTGCTTTGTGATGGTAGATCGTTAGTTGCGTAGTCTTCATCTTCAGTACAACACAAGACACAACCGTTTCGATACAAGCTTAGTGCTTTTGTCTTATGGAATATGCCAACACACCATATGGGCATATGGTCCTAACAAATTCCTTTCCTTAATGTTGGATTAATAGAACTAGTCCCTTTCCAACATCAGGGAGCTACTGTGGATGCAGGTTAGCCAACGGTGACCTCCTCGGAAAACCTTTCCAATTCCAGCCATGATGTGGGAACATCGGACGAAAAAGGTTCTACAATGATTACTGTGCATACTCATCACCACCGTCCAATCAGGGAACTGGGAGTAAGCAAAGTGAGGGCAAGAGGAAAAAAAGGCTGTGAGCACTCTAATCTCATATAAAATAAGACGTGGCAACCCACGAGTACACCCAAGGAAATCGAAGGGAGTGGGGTTGCTCCTGCGTTGAAACCGGCTAATATCTTGCATAAGACAAACTCAGTGGTTGGTACCCACTTACCTTAAAGGGTTCAGCCACGTCATCGTCTAAGGCCCATGGGAAGGTACCCCATACGAACTCTTCATCTAATAGTCTTCATCCTAGCATGGGACACAATACGGACAAAAGATGAATTGACTTCCGTCTGGGTGCCTATATCGCTCCTAGCCTTTCTTTATCTTTCCTTCCTTTCTAGCCTACCTCTAAAGTTCTCCGCTGTCACCTAGGCTCGAGATATGCCTCCTATCGTGCTTTTCTCCCTGCTCCTACTTAAGAATCCAAAGGTGACTTCTCTCCTAACTAGCTTGCTACCCGGGAAACTCCTCTACTCTGACCTTCTTGCACTCAAGGATCAAAATGTCGTGTCGACACATCCGAAACGTCCGAAACGTTTCGGAATTTCAACACTCCGAAACGAAACAGTAGTTGAATCACAAAATTCCAGTGTTTCGATCGAAACGGTACTGTTTCAGACCGTTTTGGTCAAAACGGCATTGTTTCGGACCGTTTCGACAAAACAGTGATATATTCAGTTCATTATGAATAATTCATTATGAATAATTACATTTAATACCCCATTATAATTACATTTAATACCCACTGTAATTACATTTAATACTCACTATAATTATATTTAATATCCCACTATAATTACATTTAATTCCCACTGCTCTTCTGTCTTTTATAATTTTTTTGTTATAAGAATAAATAATTAAACTTAATACCCTACTATAATTATATTTAATACCCATTATAATTATATTTAATACCTACTCTAATTATATTTAATACCTTACTGCTGTGCAAGTTTTTTACTTTTTTTTTTGTTATAAGTATTAACAATTACATTTAATACCCTAATGTAATTATATTTAATACCCACTGCAATTACATTTAATATCCACTGTAATTACATTTAATTTTTAAGTATACATAAGTATCATTAATTTAATTTGATACCCTTCATTATTAGTATTATAATAAAATAGTATTATTAATTGGATAATATTACCGTAATAATATGATTTGGAGTAACTATTGTCATCATATTTATGTCACATATGGAGTTTCTCTAAGTAGCTACCCAGAGCTTACACCGATGTATGAGCCTGCTCGACACTCCACAGGGGGATGGATGTAACCATGTAAGTATGTACTCATTAGCATTTCATGTGTATTATAAGACCTTAATATTATGTAAAAATGTGTTTATTTCATAAAAATTAAGTGTTTGAAACTAATTTAAGTGACTTTTGCCTCATGTCAAGCCTTTTTTTCTCTCAAATTTAAATTTATTCTTGTATAAATTGATGTTAACCTAATAAATATATTGAATTAATCAATTATTTAGCATATCTTTATAAATTAATGGATTGTATTTGTATTTCTATGCGTTTCCATATTTTTTCTGCGTTTCCATTGCGTTTCCGAAATATTTCTGAAACGTTTCTATTTTTGAGTTGACCGAAACGGTACTTCGAAACGAAATTTTGATCCTTGCTTGCACTTAAC